CTGCCTTATTGAGTTGCCCGCCCCTATGAAATGCTAGCAGATGCCCCCACTTACTGAGCTTTCCCTATGCACCAGGCAGTGTGTTACGCTACTTTATACGCATAGCTCATGCTTTACACACATTACCTCATCTAGTCTACATGACAGCTCTGTGCAGCAGGTATTTCTATCCCTTCCCATTTTACATAGAAGAACTGAGGCTTGGAGAAGTTAAGCAACATACCCAAGTGATGGAGCATGGACTCAAACCCAGGGCTTGTTACTCGGTTAATGGTAACACCAGCCACACACTTGCTTAGGCCAAGAAGTGAATGATCCTTGATCCCTTTCTTTCCTTCACCCTCACATCCACTCTCAACAAGTCCTCTTGACCTTCTCTCCTAAATATGTCCCAAATTTGGCCACTTTCTTCCATCTTTGCAACACCAGCTTTGTCTACTCCTATATGAGCACTTGCCTAGAACACTGCAGCAGCTCCTCTTGCTTCCGTTATGGCCCAGGATATTGGAATGATATTTCAAAAGTCGAAATTAGATTGTATCACTCCCCTGTTTAAAACTCCCACTGAATGCTCAGTTGCAATAAGAAAAATGTAACTTTTACTATGGCCCATGAAAGGCTGTGTTTGAGCTCCTGCTGCCTCTCATCTCATGTCGTTTTTTCTGTGCCTCTGACCCAACAAGCTCATTCCAGCCTTTGCACCAGGTCCTCCTGCTGAGAATGCTCTTCCCCAGCTCTTTGCCTGACTAGCTCCTTCTTTAGGTCCCTGCTCAACCCTCAACACCTCAAAGAGGCCTTCTGTGATCACCGCAGCCCATCCCAGTTCCGTGTGTGTGTGTGTGTGTGTGTGTGTGTGTGTGTGTGTATGAATCCTCACCTGAGGATACTTTTTCCATTGATTTCTAGATAGAGTGGAGGGGAGGGAGGGAGAAAAAGAGAGAGAGAAACATCAATGTGAGGCAGACACATCAATTGGTTGCCTCCCACACAACCCCAACCGGGGCCGGGGATCAAACCTGCAACCCAGCTACATGCCAGTGACCGGAAATCAAACCTGCAACCCTTCGGTCCACAGGCCAAGGCTCTACCATTGAGCCAACCGGCCAGGGCCCAGTCCTGAATTTTATTTTCATCACAGTGCCTCCCTTCCTTATGAGTCTTATTCTGGGTTAGATTCCTAGTACCTAGAAGAGTGCCTGGAACAGAGTAAATGCTCAGGTAGTTCACAATTGTTGAATGAATGGCAAATAGATGCTGTTCTTTGCCTACAAAACTCCGGCCACCTCCTTCACATCTTTAACTCTGGAGTATCCTTCAGTTCTGGCTCAAACATCATGTCCTTGGGAACTTTCCTGTGACCCTCTGTTGCTTTCATAAATAACGTCTGCTTTTCCTGAATGGCTCTCATCACAGTGTGTGTGATTACCTGATTAAAGTTCATCTTCCCCACCTGACCATAATCTTCGTGAGGGAGTCGAGTGGTCTGTCTTGCTCCCTGCTTTCCTCGTACCGCTCGGCACATGGCACATCCGTTTGTTGTTAGTGAACAAATGGAGGAATGAATCACTTTTTTTTTTTTTTTTGCATCAACTTGGTTCAAACTTGGAATGAATGAGCAAAAAGTTCTTTAGTGCCCATGACTCTTTCAGGAATCCTGTTGGGATGTGAGACAGATGATGGGGATAGGAAATAAATTCTTCTGACCCATGACACTGACAAGCGGCCCATGCTCTACTGCCCCAGATGTCTTTCCAGTGCTGCCTTTGCTGTTTTACTTCTTCCATCCGACACTCAGACACTCCCAGTGAGAGGAGCCCAGGAACACCCTCGGTTCACGTTATCAATGTCCACTCTTTGTCATAATCTCCAGTAACACATTGTTTTGAAAGTGAGGCCCACCTGTGTGTAATTGTGAGCTGTTGTCAACCCTTGTAGAACTAAGAATAGATGAGGAATGTTTAGTTCAAAAGTTCACATCCTTGGCCCAGCTGGTATGGCTCAGTGATTGAGCATCCACCCATGTACAAAGAGGTCGCCAGTTCAATTCCTGGTCAAGGTACATGCCCAGGTGGTGGGCCCCATCCCCAGTGGGGGGCATGCAGGAGGCAGCCAATCGATGTTCTCTCTCATCGATGTTTCCATCTCTCTCTCCCTCTCCTTTTCTCTCTCCCTAAAATCAGTAAAGAAAAAAATTCACATCCTTGTTCTATCACTGATTTTGAACAAAGCTTTTAACTTCAGTTACTGACTTGCTTTCCACGTATCCGAAGGACGAAGAGACTCAGAGCACAGAGATCCATCTCAGTAGTGTGATCCCCAAACCTACTGTTGAGCCAGTGGGATCAGGAATCCAACACTGTGAACTCATTTATCGTGTTGATGCTTCAGTTTCGTGGATTCCCTTTCTCACCATTCCTCCTTCTCTACACTGCTAGCAACCCTTACAGAGGCCACGAAAGCCTAGAAAGACTGTTTGCAAAGAAACATTTCTTTCCAAAAATAGTCTAATTCTAAAAATAAAGTTAAATAGCTTTACGTTTATAGGAATTTTTTCCTTTTCTATATCAGGCAAGGAAACCAAAGTTCTGAGTATATGAATTTGAAATGTTTGCTTGGTTGTGAGACCATATTGTTTCTCAGCAAGATACCACAAAAATTGTTATCCTACTAATGATTACCTTGAGCTAATTAGTGCATTAATCACAAGGCTTTCTTCATTCACTGAGGCTCTCTGTAGCTATTCAATAGCATCCAAGTGTTTTGGCCAGGAATTCAGTAGTTTACTGAGTGTAAGCAGAATTATCTTAAAGCCTAAACCAGACACAGACACAGGTGTGGTTTGTTCTTTCTTTCTGTTGTAATATCTTTAGCTGATATCCTGGCACTTGACCGAGTCGTTCACGCTATAGTCCATCTGCTGTCCCTCTTGGCATAGGGATTAGTTCAGGTTTCTCCACTGATATATGCTAACATGTCACAAGCACATTTACAAACTCCCTCTGCCCCTGGCTGCTGCTGCTCCTGCTTTTGAAATCCTCATTGAAGGATATGTTCATTGATTTTTAGAGAGAGGAGGGGAGAAGGAGAGAGAAACATCAATGTGAGAGAGAAACATCAGTCAGTTGCTTCCCATATGTGTCCGACCAACCAGGAATCCAATCCGCAACCTAGGTATGTGCCTTGACCGGAAATGGAGCCTGCTATCTTTTTAGCATGTGGGACGATGCTCCAACTGAGCCACCGGCCGGGGCTACAACTGGCTCCTATTCTCCAGAGAGCCATTCCTTGCCCCTTCCCCTTATCCCCAGCACCAGCCAGTTCCTTTTATTCTGCTTGTCTGCTTCGCTTCCTTTGCGAGAACTCCCAGCTCCCTGGCATAAACAACATCTCACGGTCAAATTTGTAAAAAAATTCCAAAGAGCTGCCTTGATTCTATTGTTGCACTGGAATTGTCATCAGTGTGCCTTATGTGTATCATGTGCTTCTTCTAGGGTTTCATACACTTTATCACATTGGCTCTTTCAAGTAGCCCTACGCCTGTACCCTCATTCAGCAGATGAGACTGCTGGGCTCAGAGGGGCTAGATGGCTTGGCCAGTGCCGCAGAGTTGGAGCTAAAACCTACATTAGCCGCCTCCAGCTTTCCCACTAGCCTGTGGTCCCGCTCACTGATATATTTTTGAAAGAGTGTTCATATTCAGAAGCTGGGAAGTTATTTTTCTCAAGGAGATTTTGTTGCGCTTGTTGTACTGGTACTTAATTGGGAAGGGGAGTTAGTCTGTAATCTAAAACACATAAGATTAGCTTTGTAGTTTTTTGTTTTGTTTTGTTTTTAAGGTTCAGGCAATGAAGAGGCGGTAGTATCACTATATCACTTGTTTCTTGAGGGTTTAAGATTCACAGCTGAAACCCTGGCCAGTTTGGCTCAGCAGTTTGAGTGTCAAGCCTGTGGTCCCAAGAGACCCAGGTTCGGTTCCCGCTAAGGGCATGTACCTCGGTTGCAGTTTGTCCCTGGCCCTGGTTGGGTCGTCATACGGGTGGCGGCCACTTGACGTGTCCCTTTCACGTCGATGTTTCTCTTCCTCTCTCTCCCTCCCACTCTATCTGAACAAAAAAATGGAAAAATGTTCTCAGGTGAGGGAAAAAAAAAAAGATTCCTTGCTGAGGGTTTAAAAGAGATAAAGGTCTCACGCTGTTGCCCAGGCTGGAGTGCAGTGGCATTCCCAGGCGTGACCCCACTTCTGATCAGCAGCACGCGAGTTTGACCTGCTCCGTTCCTGACCTGGGGCAGTTTACTTCTTAGGCAGCCTGGTGGCGCCCTCCCCCCACCCCCACTCCTGGGAGGTCACCATATTGAGGCTGAACTTAGTGAGGACCCCCGATCGGCATAGTGCAGTACAGCCCAGAACTCCTGGGCTCGAGATCCTCCTGCCTCAGCCTCACGAGTAGCGGTGAGGCTAGTACAGGTGCGCCCCCCAACCCCACGCCCGGCTATGGTTTGTTCTTGAATTCAAACCCATCTGGCATTTTGACCCACTCATATTTATGGAGCATCTGTTACATGCCTGGTACCAGAGATAGGATGGGGAACAAGACAGACATGATTTCTGCCATCATGGAACGTAGGGAGAAGACAAATAAATGGGCAATTGCAATATTTTAATAAATACCTGGGTAGGGGATGTTCCGGGTGAGATGGTGGCAGAAACATCTAACCCAAACTGGACAATGGGGAAGGCGTTCCCAGAATGAACTTCTCATCGGCTGACTGAAGGATGAGTAAGAGTTTTAATCACATTGGGTTTGGGGTGGGGTGGGGTGGGCACTAAGATGTCAAGAAGATGGAAGGCAGTGTGAGGCCTGGAGGTGAGAATGTGGTCCGTGTTGTCTCCATTCTTGCTCATTAGGTCAGATTTTATGCTTTAGCTGTTGAAGAGACTTGGAAAAGCAGGTCAATGGGAAAGCTCAGAAAATTCCTGTTTCTTTCTCATGTCTTAACAGAAAAAACTCGAGTCTCCACCCGCATCCACCAATCCCTTCCTGGAAGATGAGCCAACACCAGAGATGGAGGAACTGACAATGGACAAAGGAGATTTAGAGCAGGTAGGTCTGGTTTGCATTCCCACCTGCAGCCCATCGAACGCTTGTTTCTGAAGAAGGGGCTGCTCCCTCCAAACATGATCCTCTGGCTGTTGACCACATTCAGAGAGTACAGCTCTGGTGGTCTTTATGGAAAGCCTTTATCTGAAAGTGTATTTAGAAAGCTGAGTGAAACAGCAGCCCTTTCTGCCCCTCCTCTCTGCTCCCAGAGAGCCTCTCTGCTGGAATTAGCAACACGCACAAGCTTAATGAGCCCAGGAGGTGGGGCAGCAGAATTCTGCCCTGCCTCAATCATCACCTTTTGAACGTGTCAGCTTAGCTTTTGGTTGTGCTCTCATCTGGTCTGGTGACGACATGAGAGGCTGAAAGATCCCCCGTGAAGTCAGCAGCACCATCAGCTAGGAGAGGTCTCCACCCCGTGTAAGCCGATCACGTTAGGCCGGGAAGCCACTGGGGAGGCCTGGAATCGTCAAAGTGACCCAGGGCATATTCGGAGAGTTGCTTTTCAGAGCACATGAGCACTTTCATTTCCTTCGGGTCCGACCCTAAATTTCCTCTCCCTTCATCCTACAGAATGGTGTTTCTGTTCATTGCCACTTTATGACAAGAGGGGTTAGAGCGATAACTCAGAACTTTCTGTCTGGATTAGTGCTCCTTCCTTTTAATTTTCTACACTTGGCTTCTAAAGAATTATTTTAGAGTATTATTTTGCTCCAGATACCTCCAAAGGGAGGCTGGCTGGGAAGATTAGCTCTGGGAAACCCGTAGCCACGCTCTTTGCAGCAACCCTGCGTTACTAGCACAGTGAGGGGAGGTGTACGTTCCTGGCAGGAGCCAGGAGACCAGAATGTCCAGGAGCAGTTCTGAAGTGATGCAATCAAATATGTCTGGTCCATTGATTAAGTAATTATAACAACATGGATGCTTCACATCTTTATGGTGCTTTATAGTTTAAACGTCCTTTACATGCTTAATTTTATTTCATCTTCACAGTACCTGCCTTTTGTTTTATATGATTTTATATGAACTGCATCTCAGAGAGGTTAAGTGATTTGCCCAGAGTTACCTAGTCTAGAAGTGGAGGAGGTAGGACTAGAAGCCAGGTCTAGAAGTCAAAGACTAGGATTCTTTTCCTGACACTCTTTATCACACTGTGATGTCTCAGTGAAAAGTAGAGGACAGCCTGGCTGGTGTGGCTCAGTGGTTTAGCATTGACCCATGCACCAAGAGGTCGCCGGTTCGATTCCCAGTCAGGGTACATGCTCAGGTTGGCCACATCCTCAGTAGGGGGCGCGCAGGAGGTGGCTAATCGATGTTCTCTCCATGGATGTTTCTATCTCTCCCTTCCTCTCTGTAAAAATCAATAAAGAAAGAAAAAAAATTTTTTTAAAGAAATAAAAATAGAGGATAGACCTGGCTCATGTGGCTCAGTTGGTGAGCTTCATCCCATGGACTGAGAGGTCCTGGCTCAATTCCCAGTCAGGGCACATGCCCGGGTTGCCGGTTCCATCCCCAGTAGGAGGCATGTAGGAGGCAGCCAATCGATGCTTCTCTCTCTCTAAAATCAATAAAAACATGTTTTTAAAAGTAGAGGACTTAGAAATGAATCCCATGAATAAAACTGAAGGGATACCTCGAGACTATATTCCAGAGATCTGTGGGATTAAATGTAATTGATTGACAGCCATCCTAATTTTTTCTCACATTTTGGGAGGAAGGACCAAATGGGAAGGAGGCATCTGGATATAGGGCTCATTCTTCTGAAGTGTGTCCTCCACCACACGATGCCATGTCTCCCCAGTGCTGGTGGCTGCCATTGCCGTGTCCAGAATCGTACAGTTGAATACCACTCAGATGCTGTAGTGCTGCTGTGAAAAGCTACCCCTTTGGCTGAGTCATCTCTCGATGTTATTAAACTGGATTAGGGCAGAGTCCCCCCATTACCTACACAATCAGTTTTGCCAGGGAAAAGATGATTTTATTTCTCATGAAACTTTCTGCTCATTCCAGAAGCTCAAAGTTATCATTAAAATGACTGAGACCTGCTGGTTCTAAGGACACAGTTACATGCGGTAAAGCAGTGTCGTGTGGTAGGGAACGTGTCAGAGTCTGGCCTGTCATTCACTGACCACGTGACCTTCAGTCGCTTGTTTACTCTCTTCAGACTTCCCTTGTATCTTCATCTTCAGAGAGAATGAATGACTTTCAAACTGATTCCTGAGTGCCCTCATCCGGTGTCACTGAGGAGTTGGGTGGAGACCAGGGTACCTCCAAGCAGAACAGTTCCATTATGAGTCACTTTTGTAGTGGACTTCCAAGTAAAATTTATTTTAATCCAGGGGTTTTATGTGTGTTTAAAAATAAAGTATTAAAAAATCCCTGGACTAGATGATCCACTTGCAATTTCACAGGCTGTTGCTTGTTACCAATAAAACTTATAGACCAGTGACAAATGCCTCCTCACATCCCTTCCTTGACCTTGCAGGCCTCACCAGCACTTGTCTGGCTTGCGATTGATTAGTTAGAAGCTCCAGGATCTCCCTCTTCCAGCCACTTACTGGCTTCTAGAGTTGGGTGCACAGCAGCCCTCTGGGTCACTGGGGAGGAAGTCCACAGGATGCTAGTGGTGAGCTTAGGCAGAGGTGGTGGGGGAAGGCCCCTAGCGGTGGTCCTGGGTTACCCACCCCATGTGGCACTGCCGTCAGTGGACAGTGTGCCCCAAGGCAAGGCTCACTCCTGCTCACCCCTGCAGTTTAGGTTATGGTGAAGGCAGAGTGAACTTGAAAAGAGGCATATAGTTCAAACAGTCAGTGGCCAGCATATTCCCAGTGATTAAAAAAAAAATGGCATATGAAAAGAGACCAAGGGTGCTCAAAGTATGAAGGAAAGAGGGAGAAGGAATAAGGAATTTCTGATTAAAAATGTCCCCTTCTGGTGATCTGAGCAGTTAGATTTAATCTGTTTACATTGGATAGTAATAAAAGGAAATGGGGCCAGCTGCAGACCTCCTTACTGTGACAACAGTAACCTTTTATTATTCCATCAAACTCCAGGAGGAAATAGCTTAAACATCTGCAGCTTTTGGACAGAATTCACACACTCAGAAATCCAGCCTGACTGCTACTGCTAAATGACTTAGTATATGCCTTACGCCGCGAATCGGCCCTTTGAGGAGCTGGACAGTGCAAAGGGAGACACCAGCTTGAGCTGGAATTCCAGCACCTATTATCTAAATATGGGCACATTTGTAAAGCAGCTGTAGGCAGGGGGCAGCCCTGTGGAAATAAGGAAACTTCAGGCAGTCTCTCCTATTGTTCTCTCTTCCTTCTACCTCACAATGAGAATGCTGCAGGAGGACCGAGAGCTGTGGTGAGGGATCTCTGTTCTCCCTGCCAGGCGTGGCGTTCGTGGGCAGAGGCTGGGCAGAGTCGCCTGTGGGTGGGGTCCGGTCCCCCGCTCTGATTACACCGCTCTGAGGGCTCAAGTCAGAGTGTTCTGTGGGGCCTCAGCAAGCACAGGGCCTGAGAAGACTGATCAGGATGAGTTTGTTGAAATGTCATGTAGCCATTTTCTTTTATCACGTACAATCTGTATTTTACACTTACTCTGAAGGAGCTCTTCCGACTTAGAGGTTTTTATCATGTGTCCCTTTCATGCATTATCAAAACCAGGAGATTGATCTTAACCCCTTTTTGGCTCAGGCATGGATGTCTGTATTTCCCACATGTTGTCCTCCTGTCCATCCGGAATGTTGGTGACATCCCATTTCTTAAGAATGCTCCCCTATTGTGTGGGATTTTCTGCCAGGCCACTGGCACCATCTCCCATGTTTTCTAGTTTATTTTAATTAAAAAATAATAATGTCAAACTTAGAGAAAAATTTTAAGACTCTTAAAGGGAACTCTTAAAATCTTTCGCCTGGGTTCACCAGTTGTTAGTCTTTTGATACATTTACTTTTATCATATCCTGCCCCTCCTCCTCTCTCCCTTCCTTCCTCACTCTTGTCTCTCTTTCAGAACAGTTTGTTAGTTTGCAGAAATCATGCCCTTTATTTACCTCTAAATATTCCAGTATGTATTTCTTAAGAAGAAGGACATTCACTTAAATTACCACAGATCAAAATCCGAAAATTTAATACGAGGTCAATACTATACTTCATTTAAATGTCGTAACGTAGCCCTGGCCGGTTTGGCTCAGCGGTTAGAGCGTCGGCCTGCGGTCCAGAGAGACCTGGGTTCGGTTCCCGCTAAGGGCATGTACCTTGGTTGCAGTTTGTCCCCGGCCCTGGTAGGTTGTGCGGGTGGCAGCCACTCGATGTGTTCCTTTCACGTCGATGTTTCTCTCTCTCTCTCTGCTCTTCTCTCTCCCTCCCACTCTATCTGAACAAAAAATGGAAAAATGTCCTCGGGTGAGGATAAAAAAAATATTTAAAAAAAAAAAAATAAAATAAATGTCGTAACGTAGTCATGCTAAAGTGATAAATTAAAACATTGTCAGTAGTTGGGAAAGGATACATAAATTAGTAAATAAATAAAGCCAAATACAAAATATACATGTTGATTTAAAACATGACAATGTTCTATATTACATAAAACTCCCACTTATTTTTACCAGAAGCTATCCTGTAGATGTGTGAATATGTTTGTCAAGGGAAGAAAATATAAATAAAGGGAATAATTATAATACAATTATATATATATATATATATATATATATATATATTTTTTATCCTCACCCAAGGACATTTTTTCCATTTTTTGTTCAGATAGAGTGGGAGGGAGAGAGAGAAAGAGAGCGAGAGAGAAACACTGACGTGAAAGGGACACATCGAGTGGCTGCCAGCCACACGACCAACCAGGGCCGGGGACAAACTACAACCGAGGTACGTGCCCTTAGTGGGAACTGAACCTGGGTCTCTCTAGACCACAGGCCGACGCTCTAACCGCTGAGCCAAACCGGCCAGGGCTGGTTATATTTTAATTAATAAAAAGATATCTATCTGGTCATATTTTTCCATTCTAAATTCAGGCTATCTAGTCTTTTGAAGTTAAGACAAATCATATTGTCTATTCATTTAACAAAGCACCTATTGAAAAAGTAAAATAAAACATAGATAACTGACTTGGGAAATATAGAACAAATAGATAAGGATCACCCCCTCGCAACCATCATACCACACATCATGTATCTTCCACTGTAAACTAAGGAGGTGTGGGAAAACTTCCTGGCATCGAGGGAGCAAAGTGGATCTCTGGATCCAGCCAAGTCAAACTCAGTGAGCATGGTGCTGGGAGTCTCTTGTAGTCTCAGCCTAAGGCGTGAGTTTGGCAGTGGATTCTGGATGATAAGAGAAAGCAGCCCAGATTGTAGTTATTCTAGGGAGGACCAGAGTTTCTAGGAATCTTACAAAACAAATTGAAGACAAGGAACTCTTAGAAGGTGAAAATGGGATAAAGCTAAATATGAAATTGAATGGCTATGGTTGGCATTACCAGTTTTTACAGATGCTTTCAATCATTCCAACCAGAAGAAGTTAATCATTATTTCTGTTATTAGGGGCTTAATTTTTTCCCTATATTTATTAAAAGATATGAGCAGTTCAGTTCAACAGGTATTCTGTGGGTATACATTTATACCCAAATTATACTCTAGTATCAACCCCAGCAAGGGATCGGGGTCCTTTTGTTGGTGTTTGGCAGTAGATGGAATTGACCTTTGTTAGGAATAGAAAGAAATATGTAGGAAAGTCCTTGTGTATTCTTAGATGCTTTGAAGAGGAATTAAGTAGAAATACAGTTTTTAAATGTTTGCCTGTCTAAATGACATATGTATCAGTGGTTCCCAATTATCAGTTGTTCCCAATTGGGGACCAGTGCTGGTCCAGTTTTTCATGTGTTCAAGGCAAAAAATAAAGTCAAAACAGCCAGCCAGTCTTTAGTCTCTTCTAAAGTCCCTCTCCTCTCCTCCCCTCCCCTCCCCTCCCCTCTCCCCTCCCCTCCCCTCCCCTCCCCTCCCCTCCCCTCTCCCCTCCCCTCCCCTCCCCTCCCCTCCCCTCCCCTCCCCTCCCCTCCCCTCCCCTCCCCTCCCCTCCCCTCCCCTCCTCTCCTCTCCTCTCCCCTCCCTCTCCCCTCCCTCTCCTCTCCTCTCCCTCTCCTCTCCTTTCCCCCTCCCTTCATTTTTTCTTCCCTTCTTCCCTCCCCTCCCCTATCTTCTTCCCTCCCCTCCCCTCCCCTCCCTTCCCCTCCCCTTCACTTTTCTTTTCTTTCTCTAGCCTTCAATCTTTCTTCTATCTCTCTAGTCTTCAATCTTTTTTTTCCCATCTATCTATCTGGTATAAGGTCACCAACTATCTTTTCTTAAAAAGGGCTGCCTTTATTCTGCTATTTTCTCCATATAAAATGTAAAGAGTATGCAGTACTTTCTTCTAGGAACTTGTGGTGAGTCTAGAAAGTAGCTAAATAACAAGTTAGCAACCCTATGTTGGTCCCCTATCCTTTTTCTTACATTTACTTGTTGATGAAATTAGGAACCATTACAGGAAAGCAATGATAACAGAAAGACTTCTAGTTTAGGAGACAGGAAACTTCCTCATGTGCCTGGTGCCTCTGGACCTCCTTTCTTTGGGTATAAATAGTAGTAAAAATTCCTACATTGAGGGTTGTTGTGAGGAAGAGGTGAGATGTTACTTCGGATCAAAGTGCCTGGCCCATGAGAATAAGAAAAGGCTATAAAAATTATATCATGTCAAAGTACTTTGTACATTTTAAAGCACTATAGGTATTATTAGCTAGGATTTTAAATTGAAAGACATCAGTCAGATGATGAATAGCTTCCAAGTTGAAAATGCATGTGTTATCAAAGTAGCCATAAATCTTTCACCATTCCAAGCAAGTAAATGTCGCTAACAAAGCTGGCTTGTTCACAAGTTGGCATGAATTATAATGTAGGATATAGACCCAGTTTGGTTACATTGAGTGCTTCTTATCTATAAGTTAGGAGTGAACTTGGAAGGGATGTCTGCTTTGAAACTGAAAATGTGCAAAGCCAGCTCAAGTACAGGGTTTCTTTTTTCTTTTCTTCTTTTTTATTTCTTTACAGCCAAAGAAGCCTAAAGCCCCAGACAATCCATTTCATGGCATTGTTTCCAAGTGTTTTGAGCCTCATCTCTACGTGTATATTGAGTCCCAGGACAAGTGAGTGATGAACATTTTGCTGTTTTCTATTGCATTTCCCCCTCCCGTGGTTGTGGTTGGGCTTCCTAAGGGCACAGCTCTTTGCAGAGACTGAAGGAGGGACTTGGCATGCCTGTGGCCCTCGGATACTTTATATCTCTTGAATGTTATAATTTATTGTGTCTATACATCTCAGAAGCCTGATTTTGACCCTAATAAGGTCCCAAATGGATCCCCACACCCCCTTCTCCTGTGGGCTCTGAGCCCTTACACAGCTAAATATGTCAGCCCACAGGCTTACAATGTCAGGCGCTGGAAAATGGAGAAAGACAGCCTGATCTCCAATGTATATGTTTTGGAGTGTAATTCGTGTAACTTTTCATTTTGAAATAATTTAGACTTACAAAAAGTTATAAAAAATTCTCATAGACCCTTTCCCCAGAGAATGTTAACATTTTTCATAACCATAGTTAACAGACTCAGGAGGGTGACACTGTCCCATTAGTGTCTGTTTTCTGGTCCAAGATCCAGTTGTGCGTTTGGTTGTCAGGTCTCTTTAGTCTCCTTTAGTCTTGAATGGTTCCTCAGTCTATTTATTACATTTTATGACCTTGACACTTTTAGAGAGGATTGATCAGTTGTTCTGTACAATGCCCTTAATTTTGGTTTGTCTGATGTTGCCTCTCAATTAAATTCAGATTATGCATTTGGGGCAAGAATACCACAGAGGTCATGTTGTGTCCTCAGCACATCCTATCGCGAGGCACACCCTGTGGATTCGGTCCCCTACTGACAATTCTGTCTTGGATCCCTTGCTTTAAGTGGTGTCTGCCAGCGTTTTCTGCTGTGAAGCTGTTTTCTGTTTATATTTAATGAGTATCTCGTGGTGGGGGGATACTTTGGGATGATATTAATATGTGTTTCTCATCATACTTTGCCCACTGATTTTGACATCCCTGATGATTCCAGCCCGACGTGATTATTACTGTAGTGTTTGCCGGGTGTTGATTGTCTTTCTCCACTGATTCTCCTATGTTAACTAATTGGAGCTCTACAAGGAAGAACTTCCCCTTCTCCATTTGTTTGTCACTGTGGACTGATAGGTTCTTATCTTCTTTTATGGATTATATTTATTGCATGCACACGCATCTTACAAACTTAAGGGTGCCAGAAAATTTATAGAGCAGCCCAAGGTAGCCAAGTGTCCTTACAGCCAGAGAGTGTGTTCACGTTCGTGTCCACTGTTCGTGTGGAGGTGGACAACCCCCTCATCTCTGTCCACAGCCAGAGCGTGCAGACCCTTCCGCCCTGGAAGGTGGATTCTGAAGAGGTCGGGTTTCTGGGACAGCCAGGCTGACTGGAGGCACGCTGGCCCGGGCTCCGAGAGGGGGCCGGTAGCCGGCAGAGCACACAGGGGAAGGGCAGACGGTGGCTCCCGCAGGGCAACCAAAGCGGCTGTGAATGAGTTCTCGAGGGCAGTTCCTTGGGAAAGCACTTAGGAACTGAAATCCAGGCTCTTTTTTTTTTTTTTGTCTTTTCTTAATGATTCTGTCATTAGATGTGTTTCTGGGGTAAACCATAAGCTTAAGAGAATTTTTCAAGTGGAGTCACTACATGGAACATTATTGTTATTCACCTACCTGATTTTTTTCCCAAGTGTCAGTCTTTACCCATTTATTTTGTACAAAACAGTAGCGAGGTAGAATGTGGGGATTATCTTCTGCCACACACACAAGTTGTGACCACCTCAGCCAATGTGTACAGTTGCTCTCATCATGGAAGACTGAAGAAAAATAACAAGTCACTAAAGATTTTTAAAAAAGGGAAAGGGCGAAACCCGGAGGCTGCTACACCCTGCCGTGCAGTCAGGCCATTCTACCCCAATAATGCGAACTTGATAGCAGCGTTATTATAATTTTTTTAAATCCTCACCTGAGGATATTTTTCCATTTATCTTCAGGTAGAGTGGGAAGGAGGGAGAGAGGAAAAGGGAGAGAGAGAGGGGGAAACATCAATGTGAGAGAGACACATTGACTAGTTGTCTCCTGCCCCACATGACCCCAACTGGGGCTGGGGACCAAACCACAACCCAGGTACGTGCTCTTGACTGGAATCGAACCTGTAACTCTTTGGTCCACAGACCGACACTCTAACTGCGGAGCCAAACCGGCTAGGGCAGTAGCAACATTATTTTTACTGAACTGTGTGTAACTACACTTAGAAGCACAGCAAAGCAAAATATTGCCCTGGCCCGGTGGCTCAGTTAGTTAAGAGTGTTGTCCCATGCACCAAAAGGTTATGGGTTCAATCCCCGATCAGGGCACATATAGGAGGCAACCAATTGATGTTTCTCTCTCTCTTCCTCCCCTCCTCTCTCTCAGGAAAAAAATAAATAAAAACATATCCTTGGGTGAGGATTAAAAATAATAATAACATTTTCAAAAGCAAAATATCATGGCTTTCATCAATCAAAATCCAAAAGAAAGAAAGCAAACAAAAAAATACCTCCAGGATGAACACCCTATAAGTAGATGAACATTTACGGAGAATGAATCAATATCCACATTCTTAGACTGTTCCAGTCTGCCCCAATAAAAGTGTCACCTACTTGATATTCTAGCTAGCGTCTGCTCTTTTCCTCCCCGAGGACAAAATGCTTCATATTAAAATCCCAGAAAATGAACTTTGTAAGAGTATCTACATGAACAAAAACTCCTTCACTGCTCCCCCCACCTACCCCACCCAAAAACATCGCCTGGACATTTCTTACCTTGTAATACCTCAGTTTTCTCCCTGCTCTCTATCCATCGGGTGTATGTCTGCAGGCACACAGAGGGAAGTAGTTACTTTCGCCTCTTAGTCTTTGAAAGCACCCCATCTTCTGCATGCAGAAAGTTTTCTCGCCCAGGGAGGGCAAGCAAAAGGATCAGCTACTTGCCCACGAGATTAACAGGGCTTAAAGCAACCCACCTGGATGGCTGTTTTTGGACAAAGTTCCTTCTCTTATCAACCCAAATTTTTACTTTTAAAAGGGCCAGAAAGCTACTGGGTCCAGGTTCAAAATGCATATGAGAGAACCACGTACCTCCCCCAAACGTGCCTGGTCTAAAGAGGCATTGTCCCCAGTTGTTGTGATCCTGGGGTCTACTCTTTGCGCATGGCCTTGATTCAGATAAAGGGTACTCATTGTTCACAGTGCTTGGGCAGAGAGCCAGCCCTCCCTTCCTCAGGGACACTCCATTGCTCTCTGAAAAATGAAGTGCTGGCCACACATCCTGCCGCTTGGCCCCACCAGTATGTTTCCGCAGCACGAGGGAAGTGGCGGAAGCTACTCGGAGGAGAACTGCGTAGGCTGTGCTGTTGTCGCTCCAGAATAAGCAGCAAAAGCTTGAAGTAGAAAATAGAATTCACGAAATCCATTTCCTCATCCGTGAAAGGAGAGAATCAGACAAAATACTGCTTCCAGCAGTGGTCATTAACTGTTTTTGAGTCAGATCCCTTTGAGAACCCGATGAAAGCCAGGGACCCTCTCGCCAAGACAAATCTTCATGAATCCACACACTGGTTTTTTTAGTACAATTTTAAGGGGTTCTTTAAAGTTCTTCCTTAAGTCAAAGAATCGTAAGGCTGAGGGAGAAACTCAGGTGGGGACTGATTTTGTACAAATTACTACTCTTGAAGCTCTGACTCACTCATCTTCAAGGGAGGAAAATCTTAGACCATTCACAAGCTCTGAGATGACCCAACACAGTGTAGTGGAAAGAACGTGGGCCTGGATGCCAGACAGACCTGGATTTGAGTCAGAACTCTGCACTCACTAGCCTGAGACCTTGAGCATGGTCCTTAACCTCTTTGAGCTTGTTCTGTCCTCTCTGCCATGAAGTCAAGGATGCCTCCCTCATAGGGTCGTGGTGAGGATGAAATGAGGTGCCATACAGGTACTTGGCACAGATAAGTGGTGCTCAGGAACTGTGCCTACCCTGCCCTCCCCGAGATCTTGTTCTGGGCTCTTAGGCAGCAGTTGGGGGGCCTGAGCAGTGTTGCCAGCTTTCTGTTGGGCCTGACCTGGGATCCATCCTCTAATCTCCCCAGCCTCCCACCTGCCCCAGCCAAAAGCCAGCAGCAGGAGGACTGCAGAGCCAGTACTGGGGCGGGGGGGGGGGGGGGGGGGGGCAGGAAGTGGATCCCGTTGCCGAAGCCATCTCTCTCTCTCTTTTTTTCCTTCTTTATTGATTTTAGAGAGAGAGTGTGTATGTGAGAGAGGAAGGCAGAGGGAGAAAAAGAAACATCAATGAGAGAGAACATCGATTGGCCGCCACCTGCATGCCCACACTGGGGAGGGGATTGGGCCCACAACTTGGGCATGTGCCTTGACCGGGAATCGAACCAGCGACTTCTTGGTGCATGGGTCGATGCTCAACCAGTGAGCCACACCGGTCGGGCCGAAGCCATCTCTTGAACAAGTTGAACTAAGCTGCTGTTCTGTGCTTTAAGCAGCTTGCTCAATTTTTGTGTATGTTCAAGGAGGAAGTTAGTGTATCTTCTACCCTTGGGAATGTGGTGCTTTTCTTCTGCTGACTCTTACAGACGAGATTTCTCTGCATAGGCACTTTGCTCACTTCATTCAGTTCATCTCAGCCAAAGAAATTATTGGTGACTTCATCTCTGCCCATTCTCCTGAGTTCCCTCTAGTAACTTTTGTTGAAATAGAGCTCCCCCTTCTCCTGCCTTCGTCAAGATGAGAGTTTCTCTGTGAGTTAATTTCAAACTTACAGGAGAGTTACAAGAATTATACAGAGAGCGCCTGTATATCCTTCACCCAGACTCCTCAGTTAACAGTTATCTCTCCCTCCTCTCGCATACACTTTCACATATGTACACATGCTCACATATATACGCACATGCATATTTTTTCTGAGTCATATGAATTCTCAGTTGCAGACAAGATGCCGCATTACTCCTAATACTTCACTGTGTGTCTCCTATAAATAAGGACAAATCCACATAAGCATCCTACAACG